GCTCAGACGTTTTCCCTGCGTCTCATTTCAAATGCCAGTCCACCACAGTGCTTGAGGTTGAGAAACTCTGGAGGATCTTCTCTACCTGTTATCATTTTAAGAGATCAGCAGATGAATTAGGTCTCTTTCTTTTGCTCCAGTTACCAAAGATGGATTTTCGCAAGTGAGGACTTCATTCAGAAGAACGGATTTTTCCCTAAATCCTTGGCCTTCTTGTGAAGCCATTGCGGCCATCTTGGCTAAGGGCAGAAGCCTTATTGCCCTCCCAGCTGAAACCCGTTCTTTTTTTTCTCTCACTTTCATTTTTGTCCGGAAAAGTAGTTGCGTTTCGTTGATTATGAGTCTGAAAGGCGTTTTTACTACAAATCTGCAAGGTATTTTAAAAATAAACAGGAGGGGGGAAAAAGTGAATTGCCTGCGTCCCTGGGTGGGCTCGAACCACCAACCTTTCGGTTAACAGCCGAACGCGCTAACCGATTGCGCCACAGAGACCAAGCTGTTTCCAGGGCTTCTGCCATGACTCTTAAGGAGGAAGTTACAATACTGGATGCTGAACCAGAATGTAAATACAGAGGAGTAAATGTCTAAGGAGATTCTCAGTCATTCAGGGGATGGTTGTATCAAATGTGCTTTTTTCTTCAATAGGCAACTGGACTTTCTGGTTCTTGAAAATTTGAAAAACCAGAAAGTCCAGTTGCCTCTTGAAAAAAGCACCTATGGGACTAAGGAGTATACAAATAGAGCGTGCCTTGGAAAGTTTCCTTCCTTCCTTTCCTTTCCTTTCCTTTCTTTCCTCCCTCCCTCTTTCTTTCTTTCTTTCTTTCTTTCTTTCTTTCTTTCTTTCTTTCTTTCTTTCTTTCTTTCTTTCTTTCTTTTCTTTCTTTCTTTCCCTTTCCTTCCTCCCTTTCTTCTCCTTTTCCTTCCTCTCCTCCCTCCCTCCCTCCCTCCTTCCTTCCTTCCTTCCTTCCTTCCTTCCTTCCTTCCTTCCTTCCTTCCTTCCTTCCTTCTTTCCCTTTCCCTTTCCTTTCCTTTCCTTACCCTTCTTCCCTCCCTCCCTCCTTCACTCCCATCACTCTGGGCAACTTACAATTAAAGCAGAATAAAAACTCATAAAAACAACAAATAACCTTACAATAGTTGCTAAGCTCTGTCATTTGTTTGCTAAATGTATCTCTGAAGCCTTTCTTTAAAGCAGATTGCAAGGGGATTTCCACAACAATCCTGTGGGGTAGCTTGGGCTGAGTCTGTACGATTGCTACCACCACCACTACTACTTCTACTTCTATTTACTTCTAATCATCATCATCATGATAGGTGTTGACTAGTCAATGAGGAGAGTCTGTGACATAGTCTTCCCCCATTGGTTCATTTGCCAAGCGGGAAAACGAACGGATGCCAGTGAATGAAAATTTGGACAGCAACCTGTAAAAAGACCTGCAGGAAAAGCCACGGCAGTTTGTTATTTCCAGAGCCAAATGTAAAGGAGTTCCTTAACCTGCCCTACGCTGTCCTGCCTCTTCACTCAGACCCCCAATTTAACACTGGCGACCAAGGTGGGAATCCTAGGAGAGAACAAAGGACCCTCACCGCCTGGCAACGGACGGCCATCTTTTCCAGCCGAGATTGAATCTAACAGATAATCAGAGTTGGAAGGGACCTTGTGGGTCATCTAGTCCAACCCCCATCCAAGCGGGAGACCTTACACCATTTCTGACAAATGGTAGTCCAATCTCTTCTTGAAAGTCTCAAGTGATGAAGCTCCCACAACTCCTCCATGGCGGGCAGACTGTCAGCATTCCAACAAAACCTCCATTCCAACCAATAACTCCGAGACAGGCATCTCTCAAAAGTTCCTTTTATTTGGATAGTAATTGGCACAAACTGGGGAATCCCGAATCTGAAAGTTCTGGGCTTCCTTGCAATAAGTAAAAACTACAAATCCATCCACTACACCCATCACTACATCACATGGCCCAATCACCATCCATCCCAAAGTAAGACTTCCTTTCACTATAGCAGTAGCACTTAGACTTATATACCGCTTTATAGTGCTTTACAGCCCTCTCTAAGTGGTTTACAGAGTCAGCATTTTGCCCCCAACAATCTGGGTCCACATTTTACCCACCTCAGAAGGATGGAAGGCTGAGTCTACCTTGAGCCGGGTGGGATTTGAACTGCCAAATTGTAGGCAGCTGGCTGCAGTAGAAGTAGCTTGCAGTACTGCACTCTGACCACTGCGCCACAGAGGCTCATGATGGCTTATATAGGCCAGCTATGCACAACACGACCTGACCTTGAATCAGAAAAAGAATTTTATTATGTCTAACTAGAAATACTCCAATGAATTCCCCCCCTCCCACTTTCCCAGGCTCAATTGTGGCAGCGTGGGAGCATTGGATCTCAATATGGCTTCCAAAGCTGACACAGATGCTAGATACCCAGAAGAAGAGGAAGAAGAGGGGAATATGGAGGAAGAAGAAGAAATTTGTAGAATCAGATCAGACGGGTGAATGGGGCAAAGTGAAGCACAGCAGAGGCCTCCCTGGTGTTCAGGATGCAAGGGAAATCACCCCAGGTCGGCATGCAGGTTTAAAGACACCATATGCAGACGGTGTGAAAAGAGAAGGCACATCGCAGAAGCTTGCAGAGCAAGTCTGCCTGCCTGTCCAAGTCAGAGGCAGCCACATGGGCAACTACAAAAGGAGATATACGAAGGCACCAAATTCAAACTACCGGCAGGAGGAAAGTGGAGCCTCGAGAGACAGAGACTATAATCAGACAACAATAGGACACTCTGGTGCCTATAAATTTTTTAAAAATGCACATCACCATGCAGATTGCAGAAGAACTATGCAACATGGAGCTAGATAGTGGGTCATATATCTCCATAGTGTCATGGGCAACAATAAAGAAGGCAGTGCCAAGAATAACCAGACAGCAACTAGAGTCCCACCAAATTAAATTAAAAGACTACCAGGGAAACAGCTTCCCAGTAGTGGGAAGAGGATTTTCTCCTGTGAAATTCAACAAATTCAGCAGTCAACTACCCCTAACCATTGTGGACAAAGACCTGCCCAGCCTGCAACAACACGGACCAGGTTTTGTGCTGTCCTCAAAATGGAAAGGCTGCCTAGGATTTAAGAAGTTTCCAATCATTGCTTTGAACAGCTGTTGGGTGGGAGTTGGGACTCCAGCTGGGCAGTGAAGGGCAAAGAACATAGATTTTGTGATTTGTTAATGTAGTTACTTTGTATTTTAATTTGATTCATTTTCTCTCTTAAAAGGATGTTCAGGTTTATTGGCTTTTAATGTTCCTAAGTTGATAAATTAGCTGGAGACTAGCTCCAGCTAAGAAAAAAACTGTTAGTCCAAATTGGGATCTGGTTTATCTCTTTTGTGAACTCCATACAACCTTTTTTCCTTACAGTTACACCCCTTCGGAGGTCAGAGCTCATTTTAATGAACATGTGTGCTATTACGTGGTGCAAATATATAACACGTTTGACTCCATGTTAACTGATTTCCTATGCAAAAGGGAGGTCACTTTTTTTCTATCCAATCTGCTTTCCTCCTGCCTTTTCTTTGTTGGGTTAACTATAAAAAGGAGGGTAACATGAGGCTCAGGTTTCTCTCCCTCCTTTTTCATAGAGAGATCCCACTTTATCAGCGTACCCTAATAAACTTTTTTTTAAAATGATCTTCTGACTCAGTTGCTTATTGGGAAGATAAACTGAGGCAGAACCTAGGGCCAGATTTGGTTTTCAGCAGGTTGACTAAAGGAACCTTTTCTAAATCTCAGTCACTTTAACATGTATGGACTTCAACTCCCAGAATCCTCCATCCAGCAACCTCTCTCTCTCTCTCTCTCTCCCTGCGTTCCCCCCCACCTACACATCTACCTACCTATTTTTTGGCTTGCAAGGAGCGGGCGTAGAGCTGGATCTATTGTTATGTGCATCCTTTTAAAAAATGGTTTTACCAGTTCTGAAATAAAAGTGGGCCATCCCCTCCTCAGGAATCCTTTATTGAACCCAACTGAAATTGGACATTTTTAGGAAAAGTTGAGGTAGGTGTTATTTTGCTGTAGCTAAGCGTGACAGTTAAGTGAGTTTTTTGCCCTTTTTAGGATCTTTGCTGCCACCGTTAAGTTAGCAACAATGGTTGTTAGGCGAACATGGTTTCCCGATGGACTTTGCTTGTCGGAAGGTTGGAAAAAGGCACCACTGCAACCGTCATAAATAAGAGTGTTGTCAAGCATCTGAAATTTGATCCCGTGACCATGGAGATGGTGCAAGGTTGTAAGTGTGAAGAACGGTCATCGGCCACTTTTTTCCAGCGCTGTTCAGTTACTAAACAAACCGTTGTAGGTCGAAGAACACCTGTACCTGGATTGACCGAGCCTCTGCGTGGGCCCTGCACTTACCTGGCATCCAAAACAGGCCGTGTGGGGATTCCTTGGAGGGGTGGAGCGGGGTGGGCAGGGCCAGCCACAGGCGGGATTTGCCGCTTGCTGAACCGGCCATAAAATTAGCTATGGGTGAACCGGTCGCAGATCACCCCTGGTCACGGCCCAGTATTGGGATGTGGCCTGGGGGTTGGGGACCCTTGTCCTACGTCCAAAGACCAATGGTCAAATCCTTTTTTTTCAGTACCATTGTTAACTAAGAATGGTCGCTAAATGCCGAAGACTATCTGCACTTCCGAGGCCTTTTTTTAAGAAGACACGACACTACAATGTGAAGCACTGAAAGTTATTTTTATTTTATTTTTTTCCAAAATTACAAAACACGAAAGTCACAGTGTGGGATGTCATAAGGAATGTCAGTACAGTCAATAAAAATGGAGACAACTGAATGTCATCCGCATTTCTCCCCCCGCCCCCCCAAAAAAAATAAATTGATCCAGAATTACAAAATACAATATGGTAGGATAAGTGTGGCATTGCAGAATGTCTTGGTTGATGATGTAAGCAGATTTATAAAAATGAAAAGCAATTGATTTTAGACAACAATATTGTTTAAAGCAGGGTTAGTGAACTCTGGCCCTTTTGCGACTTGTGGAATTCCAACTCCCATTATTCCTGAACTGGCCAGGAATTAGTTGAAGTTCCACAAGTCATTAAAGGGCCAGATTTCCCCAACCCTTGCTTTAAACAATGTTGTATTTTTAAAATGCACACTTCACAATTAGGAATTATGCAAAATGTATAAAATAAGAAAAGGCCATTACTCAATACTCCAAGCTTGAAATAAGATTTTCTGAGGTCAGAAAAGTGTCAGAACAATTGTTCAAAGTGTGAAACAGCGATTCTGAGCTCAAAAATGAGGTTTTTCATAACTTAAAGTTGAGTATTCTAGGCTCAAAAACATTTGAAATTGAAAACATTTTCTACGTTGCTATCGCCATGCTTCCAGAATTAATCAGAAGGTCTTCAGAAGTTGTTGAACGTAGCAGCTTCCTGCTGCTCACTGAAGCAACACGTTTTCCCCCACAGGCTTCTAGGCTGAAACATGTGGTATCTTTAAAAGTTGCATTAAAATACGGCTGATTTAATGAACCAATTCATAAAAGGAAACCAAGCTTTTTCAGGCTTAAACAAGGAGGCAGCTGCTTTAATGAGTAGTAAAGAATGGCTGCCTTCGTCCACAGTCCAAAGCACTTCTGAATAAGTCTGGAAGTGTGCCTGGTCCTACAACTTAGCATCAGAACAGACTGAATGAATCTTAGCCACCCCGATAACTGAAGAACAGAAGAGAGAAGAGTCTGCAATACATACATGTATGTTGCTTCTGGCTAAATAGATATGAGAGCCATTTCAAACGTTGTCCAGAGTCAACGGTGGGCTCAAATCACAATCAAGTCTATAAGGAGCTGATACTTATTCATATAATTTTAAAATGTGCTTCAAACTGGAGGCAGCTTCTTATGTAGCCGAGATTCGTTGAGACAGACCAAACACAACTCATTTATTTCTAACTGAATGGAGACGGAGGAAACAGCAGGCATCCCGATTCCTCCTATTTCATAGACATCTCTTTCATATACATCTCTATTTATATATATATGTAATAAATTTAATACTCTGTACAAAACCACAGAATTTAATCTCCCTCACAGGACTCAGTACATAAATGGATGGAAAAAGAACTTCAGAGTTTATTTACAGATGGCTTCTTGTTTTCTTGGCACAACTTTGCTTCTCCTCTTGGATTTCTTTTTCAAATTCTTCTCTTTCCCTGAAGGATTTAAAAAAAAGTTGCAAGCAAACAAAACAAACCTCTAGCAATGGGGGAAGCCGAAACCCTGAGATTTTGCTCCCTAGTTTCTTTTTACACAATAAAACTCAACATCAATTGTCTTCCCTTCAGCCGTAAATGCTTGATCGTCAAGCTTTATTTCTTACACTGCCAGAGACTTCCCAGTAGAAACGTTTGTAAACAATGTTATACAAGAAGTCCTCAGCTTATGACCACGTCTGTGACCAGAATTTCTGCTGCTAATCCGAATGGTTGTTAAATGAGCCGTGACCAATTTTGCAACCTTTTTGCCACTGTTAAGCAAACTGCTGTAGTCATTAAGCAAGTCATGTGGTTGTTATGTGAATCATATATGGCCGTTAAGCAAACCTGGCCGGCTTGTTGGAAGTTGGCTAGGACGGTGACAAATGGCAATCCCGTGACCCCAGGACGTTGCAGTCATTGTAAGATACATGCCGGTTGATCAAGTTACTGTAGGAGCTACTGCGATGGTCATAAGTGGGAGGACTGGTTGTAAGGCAATTTTTTTTCAGTGCCACTGTAACTTCAAACAGTCACTAATCAAATGGTTGTAAAGTTGAGGATTACCTGTAGTTTTATTGTTGTTCAAACTATGATTTTGAAATGCCCTGATATATATTTTTTTATGGAGCAGAATTACAGGTAGGCCTCAACTTATGACCACAATTAAACCCAACATTTCTGTCACTAAGCCAAACATTTGTTCAGCGAGCTTTGTCCCAGTTTGTGATTTTTCTTTCCACCGTTGTTAAGTGAATCACTGCAGCTGGTAAATTAGTAACCTGGTTGTTAAGTGAAACCGGTTTCCTCGTGGATTTTGCTCATCAGAAGGTCGCAAAGAGGGATCACATGACACACACCCCCAGGACACTGCAACCGTCATAAACATGAGTCAGTCACCAATATCTGAATTTGGATCATGTGACCCTGGGGTTACAGCAATGATCTTAAGGATGAAAAACAGCCATAAGTCACCTTTTTCAGTGATGTTGTAACCTTGAATGGTCACTAAATGAACTGCTGTAAGTTGAGGACTACCTGTATAGTGCCATAAATAAAGGCTAGCTGCCTAATGACAGTTTATTAAATTGGTGCGATACAGCTGGGTGTCCTGAAGAATGATGGAGAGAGAAGAAATATGGTCCCCAGAAGGAAAACAAAAAGCTGCAATATTCAGGATGTCCTGATTTAGGAGGGGAGAAAGGAGAAAGGAGGCACAGTAAAACAGCCCTTCTAAACCCGGCTCGCTCTGACAGGAATACAGCGAGTCCTCCGTTAACGACCACTTGTTCAGCAACTCTCCGAAATTATGAACTCCCAACGAACCAGGTGGTTTGCAGCCGGTCCTTAAGTTGCAGCTGGCACAGTCTCACTCTGGTCACGTGAATGCGACTGGGGCGCTTAGCACCGCCTCACAATTATGGCATCCCACAATCACGGGACTGCCGTTGGAGACTTTCCTTGCTGGTTTCGCCCAAGCAAAGCTAATGGGGAAGCTGGTAGGAAGTGGCAAATGGCGATGACGCATCTACTGGGCGGTCATCGCCATTTGAAAAGACGTCTTGTGTGTGTGTGTGTGTGTGTGTGTGTGTGTGTGTGTATGGATCTTT